TCATCTCTCTTGCCCGATGGCTGGTAGTTTCGAACTCCTGACCTAGAGCTTAGCAGCCCAGCAAGTAACCACGGCGCCACTAGGGCTCCTTAAGCAGAGAACAGGGCCCAGCCAAAAAACGAAAAACAAAACGAGTGAGGTGGCAGATAGAGAGAAGGGAGCATCACCTGGCTCAGCTGCGGCTGCAGAATCAGGGGCAGACACAGGCCCCGCTGACTTGCCTGGTCCCTCCCCTCGTGTCTGCCCTCAGGCTGCTTTCTTGGGTCACACTGGTTTCCTCCTGGGCCCGCACCTGCAGACCGGCTTCCCTCCGGCACGAAGACTCTTCTCCAACCGGTTCTCCAAGACCCCAGCCCGATGGACCGGACGGGTGCACTGACCCAGCCCAGACCCGCTCCCGCCTCCTCCCAGGACTTCCCTGCGCCCCAGCTGCCACTGCAGATATTCTGGACTTCAGGTGGAGCCGGTCCATGATCCCAGCGGAGTCTTTGATTCCGTGCTGGGCCATCCGCCAGCCTCGGTCAGGGTTAGGCTCTGAGTCGGTGCGTCCTGCTCCAGGAACGGCCTCTCGAGTCAGGCCCAGCAGATGGAACGACTGCACTGGCCGTCGGCTCAAGGCGCTCAGCACCAAACCAGGGACGGCCCTGCCATGGAGTGGATTTCGGTTCACGGTGATGCAGAGGGTAGATCCTTAGAGTTTCCGCGGCTGCACATCTTTTCAGAGCAGAGAGCCTCGTCATTCTCCCATGAAGGGATCAGCAAGTGGATTTGAACCACTAACCTTGTGGGTAGCAGCCCAGTGCTTACTTAGGCTGAATATGGGGCCCACCAAAAACCAGCAGGCATGCGTGTCGGATCCCCAGGATGCCCACCTGCATCTGTGAACAGACGTCCTCGTTGTGTGGGCATGCGTCCGGGGCGTGGGCCTCCGCAACGGCGGGTGTGCGGGGGAAGATGCCAAAGGACGGTGGCGGGTCGCTGGCTGCTCCCCTCCACCATATGGTTTCTCCTACCATTTTGTCTCCAGATGCGATAGCCCATGAGAAATAAAATAGCAACAACTCGTGGCCATTGCGTCGTTCCCACTCGCGGCAGGCGCGTGCGTGACAGAGTAGAAACGTGCGTCAGAAAGGTTACTGGGCTGTGATGTTTATGGAAGCAGATCGCCAGGCCTTTCTTCAGCAGCACCACTCGGTGAGTTTCCAGGAGTCAACTTCTGCGTTAGTAAAAACAAGAACAACAAACAAACAAACCCGCCCCCTGCCACTGAGTATATTCTGACTCACAGCAACCTTGTACGGGGTGTCTACGACTGTCGACATCTTTGCGGGAGCAAATAGCTTCATTTTTCTCCTGCGTAGCAGCTGGTAGGTTTGAATGGCCCAGCAGTCTCCACACCACCACCAAGTCACAAGCTATTTATATCAACTACCCAGCGACCTGTGAGAACAACTCACTCAACCCAGTGCAATCAAGGCAGTGTCCAACTCACCGCAACTCTATAGGAAGGGTAGAACCGCCCTTGGGGGTTTCCAGGACTGTAACTGTTCACGAGAATAGAGAGCCTCGTCTTTCTCCCAAGGAGCGGCTGGTGGTTTCAAAGAACTGCAAGTGCTTGCAGTAAGCAGCCCAACGTGTAACCACTACACCAGCACAGCTCCCAGGGCGGGCAAATTCCCGCCTGAGGATGAGGACAGCCTGGTGCACTTGCACACGCGTGGCCTGGTGTGACACTAGAAGAAGAAAATAGTGCCAAGCATGTGATCTTTATCCGCTGTGAAGGCAAAGCACTGACGTCGGTCCATCGGCAGTGATGGGCCTGAGAGTTCGCAGAGGGAGGAGGAGTCTGTGCCAGACCCTGGCTGATGGCCTCCGTACTGAACCCAGGACTCCACTCCTGCCTTCCTGAGGACGACCGAGTGGCAAGACTGCCGGGCGTCCGGAAGACGCGCAGTGTCATGGAGCTAAGGGAGGAAGGGCTGGGTTGGGGGAGGGTGGAGCTATGCTGTTTTGCATGTGGAGCTTGTTATCGGACCAGTCTCAGGGCAGAGCTGAATCAGGCTGCCCAGTGCTCACCCAGGGCCCCCCGGGGTGGGGTGGGGTGGGGCGGGGGCGGAGGAGGGGTCTGATCTGGTATTACTGGAGTTGGGATGATATTCCTGTTAGAAGAGAAATTGTCTTGCCTTATTTTCAAAGTTTGTTCGGAGTCTGTCGGCTGTGTTTATTATGAATTTTGTTTCAATCCTATACGTTTTGTTTCTCATATTTTCAAGCTGAGACTCTGGATTCCCCCTTGGCACCATACTGTGAACCCCAGGGATGTAACCCAATTTGGTAAGTGGGAGACCTACCTGGCTGTCCCATACACATCACCTCATGCCCAAACTCGTGGCACTGACAGTAATGATTGTGGCTATTCAGGAAAGTCCCCAACACTTGGGAAGGCTGTGTGGGGGCAGGGGTAAGAAGCGCTCGATTCACACCGCTGCGGATGACATTACCTAGGACACAGACTTGCCGTGTGTGTGTGTGTGTGTGTGTGTGTGTGTGTGTTTACACCCATGCACGCACGCATGCCATCTTACAACATTAAAAAAAGCAGACACATTGTTTAAAAACAGATGTTGTTGTTGTTTTAATATAAATGGGTACAAATGTGCAGTCAGGCCACAAAGAACCCGTCTTCAACACTGGGCTCTTTTTAAGACATATGATCTTCCCTTCTGACCCCCGCCTCCAAATACAAAATGCACAGATAAATCGCACTCACACCTTACATATTTTAAGTAGCAAACAATTTAAATTCATAATAAACAATGAAGAGTTTCATATTTTTCAGCAGTTCAAAATTTTAAAAACATTAGCAAAGTTATTCATTTCCATCATTTTCATGAGTAGAAAAGAAAAAGAGGAAAGAAAGCTCCAATCATGAATCTTTTATTGGCAGACAGGGGTTACTCAAAAGTGGAGAGCAACTCTGGAGATGGAAACGGGACACGGATCAGGACTACCTGACACGCGTGAACACTGCATTCCGGTGTGCCTCACGCCCACGTCCAACCTCCCTGTGGTTCAGAACATTAAGAGGTAGGTTCCACAAAGCAAGTGCCTATTGTTTCCCTAAATTGTTGATAACGTGCAACAGGAAAAAAAAATCAGACATCAAACCAGCCTGTGGCTTAGGAACTACATTAGAAAGTGATGACAATCTTTTTTCCGAAGACCTCATTGTGCAGAGTTCACGCAAAAGTGGGGGTGGGGTGGGTTTGCAGGAGTTAGGGGCTATCAAAGTTGCTGCAGTCCAATAAAAAATGCTATCTCCCTATATTATACCTTACGTTTTCTATGTCATAGCATGTTCCTAAGACTTAGGGCAAGAGAAAATCTGAATGTGTGTGTTTACAAATTGAGCCTTTCATTGAAATGTCGGTGTCTAGTGTAGACGATAATGGACACAATGGTTAAATATGTACTGTGCTGATGCTGCCCGGCTGGAAAATGGTGGGACCGAAGAAGTCCATCCGGGAGAGGAAGCTGAGGATGTCACTGCGCCTGACCAACCATCTCCGTGGAAGTGAGACAGGGTCATTTCCCATGACCCAGGATGGTTGCCACTAGCCTTGCTGCCTCTGGGTCAAGCAGCAGAAGAGGAAAGACGGAGAGAAGAGTGATGCTCCCTGGGAGCTGCCAGCAGCAAAGCATTCTGGTTCCGGCTGTGTTTCCAAGTAATCACAGAATTGCCAAATCTCTCCAAGACGTGGCTTTGTGTTGGTGACTACCATTCATACCCTGACATTTCATCGGTGTGCAGTTCATTCCAGGAACCAGATAACGGTGCCCGTAAAATGGAAAAGTTCCAGTGACATAAAAATTGCCTCTTGATGCTTCCTTACACAAAAATGCGTATGAATGGGCTTGGTGGTCACACGCTTTGAGATGCTGCCCTTCACGGTCCTTCCTGTTCTGCTTCCAGAAAGAGCATAATCTCAGCTGTCTGCTGATTTGGTTGCTGTAATGGATGCTTTAACACACCGATTTTCTACTTATGATTCCATAAGGAAACAGTTTTAAGTTTACAAAGATTTTTTTAAAATATTGTAAGTCTTGAAGTTTTCTGATTGCTTTGTCTTTAAGGAAAAAGACACTCAAGTATGAAGGAATTGGCATATTCTCAGACGAACCAAAAAACACATTCATGACTTATAATTCTAACAAAATAGCAAGTACATTTTTCAAAGTTAGCAATCGGGGCCAATAGCTGCAGGAAGGATGAATAGGAAAATATAAATACAATCTGGTGGCTTTTAAAAATTGTATGAACCTATCAAAATGATGATCTTAAGCAATTCTGTGAATATGAAATTAAGCCGAAGTATCTAGCGTGATCGTTTCTATACTCCTCTCTTTTATAAAAAATACAGCTTTCTTTGTGCCATGGACTAGTTGCAACTCTATGAGAAAAGGAAGTCCAGAAATGGTCAAAAACTTCCATAATCATGTGAAAGCAAAAAATTAAAATTAAAAATGCAGCAACATGCTATTTCTTGGCTACTCCTAACGTTTGCTTCATTTTTTCATACACCACGTAACTGATGCCGACAGCAGGGAGCACCTTCATGAAATTCGGGGTGATGCCCCTGTAAAGTCCTCTTGCTCCTTCCTTGGAAATTATTCGTCGAAAGAGGCCAACCATGTTCAGCTGTGGGGCTCCATCAACCATGGCTAGAATAAAAAGAAACCAAGCTAGTGCAATACTCAAGCAGGTTTCATTTCATTATTGATTATTATGATTAAAAACTATGATCCAAGGAGGGTGTTCTAGAATACAAAGAAAGATTATCGTGCATCCTGCGGGGCCCAGCCAAGTGCCCTCTTACACGATCTCTGCTAGTACAGTAACCCAACAGGTAAGGGGCCTGCGTGCAATAACGATGGTAATAATGGTACCCTAAGTATTAGACACTGTGTGACATACCAACCCTGCAAAGTAAACACGATTATGGCCATTTTACAAATGAGGAGTTGAACACTTAGCAAGATGGAGTAGCCTGTGCAGTGTCTTAGACCATGTAACTAGCAAGAGCAGTGGAGCCATGCGCTGATGGTTTTTCTGACTCCAAAGCCCTTGTGCTTTCTACTATGCCACGTAACTCCTGGTATGCATAAAGCACAGCACATATAAAGTGCACCTAAGGGAATGATGAGGAAAATAATGTCGAAAAGGTTTGGAAGGAGTTTTAAGAAAATAATAAAGCTCAAGGAACATTCTTAATTAAAACTACACCTTGCTGGCTCAGTAGAACAGGATACTAACATTGAGAAGATCTAAAAGCGTATTCCTGATGCACAGCTTCTGTTTCAATCTTTCATCCACAACTGCCTCTGAGAACTGGGCTTTCCCTTAACCATGCCTTGTGGGAAACAGAAGGATTTCTCCCCCAAATTTGTGTTGTGTCCCCCAAATATATGTCAAACTTAGCTGCTTGCGAATGACTATACACTTGGAGGTCATCAGGAATAGCCATCTAGAGCAAGCAGACACCACTGTTTATCCCACAACAAGTAGGGCCCACTCCCTTCTGATAAAGATAGTAGTTGTCTGTCTCCTTGTAGGAGACACCAGAGAGGTCAAAGCCGCCCAAGGATGACCAAGGTTAGGCCACCATAATGAATCTAGGTTCCACCCATCTTGTCACATGTATACCCCTAGATCTTCCCATTCCTGTGGGCACACCCCTAGTTCATCCCCTTCTTGTTATGCTTATGCCAATCATACATCCCCTTCCTACAATGTGTATGCCTATTGTACTGCCCCTTCCTGTGATGTGTGGTTACCTGTAGTCATGTCCCCCTAAAAAGATATAATGCTTGGTTAGCAATAAAGAGAAGGCTCTCCCCATCCTCGCGCCCGTGGGCTCTCCTGCTCTCACCCCGGAGGCTCTCTCCTACTCTCTTGGCCAGGCTCCCCCCACGAGGACCACCAAGCGGGGCTGAGGTGAGCATGCTACCATGAATTGTGTCTGACTCCTTTATTCCACTCTCTCCTCTACCCCTCATGCTCTCTATGACTTTACTATAATCTTTACTTATTATCGCTGTACAATTGCGCCTACCGGACCTGTGATGATTTGTGAGGGACCCTCTCCTTCGCCCCACAATGCCTGTTAAATTTAATGTACTGAAATACTCCTTTCGGCTGAGAGCTAAGAGACATAAGACTCCAATACCAAGGTCATGGTTTGGGAAGTCAGTGGACTTTGGGTCAAATCTCTTGCATTTGAGGTTGCCTGATAATTATCAACTTAAGACCGCCATGTACTTGCTATTTTCATGTTTCCTCTGCTCCTTTGTGGCGTGTCCTTGTGCTGCAGACACAGCTTTGCCTTAATGATTGAGCGTGATTGAAACGTATGCCTGTGCCTTTCTTAAACAATGTTCAGGTACTTAAGTTTTTAACTTGTATAAGTGAACAGCCGATGTATTTTAGTCTCAAAAGCTTTCCTATAGATGTATGTTTTCCTTTTCTCAATAATACTTTAAATTCTATACAATTGGCTAGATCAATGACACTATTATTAGAATGACCAAATTTTTCCTATAGGTTACTTATATTATTTTGCAATGAGCTGATAATGCTGCCTTTAAAGTGGAGCAGGGATATATATATAAAAGTTGCATATACAAATGGATTTTGAGCTTTCATTTAATCATAAACCCTAATCTAAGAACAATTAGTGCTTATGACCTGGCCCTACTCAGCATTGGCAATGAAGTGATCGCTGAAGATATGGACATATGGCCAAGTGTGGTGAAATAATCAAAGAGTATCTGGCTATCAGAAAGAATAGCATCTGGGGATTTAAAAACATGTCTTATTGAGGTATCATCTAAGTCCACACAGAAGGAGCACAACATCCCATGTGATCCAAAGAATGTAAATAATAAAATCCAATACCTGAGGAGGGAACTGCATTTAAGCTTAAACTCTGAGCACTTGGCTTGCAGAAGGCAGTGAAAATGCAAAAGCCATTTTGGAGAGTCCCCATGAGAATTAAGCCTTCATGGAATTCCCTTGGGTCATTGACCAGGAGTGTGTAGTCCTGCCCTCAGGCAGAGTGCATTGGGAAGTCGATTACTGCCAGATGTACTTAGGATAAAATTTAACATGCTATCATTTGTTGGTCTTTTTGGCCCATTTATTATTTGTTTCAGTAATCTAGTTCTCTTACATTGTGGTTTTTATGTGTTTTGTTTTGTTGCTGTTGGGGCTTGGGGTATGCTTTTCCTTACATGACCCGGGGGTGGGTAAATCTATAAAGACAGTCATTAGATTAATAGTTCCCTAGGGTTAGGGCGGGGGACTTTGGTGGATAATGGGGAGCTAATAATAATGGGTGCAAGAGTGAAGAAAATGTTCTAAAAGTGTGGTGACAACTATACATCTCTTTATAAATTTTTAGACCATTGAATTGTATGGCACAAGAATTCTATGTCAATGAAAGTGCCTCAGGGAGCCCTGGCGGTGCAGTGCTTCCACGTGGCACTGCGATCCGAAAGGCCGGCAGTTTGAAACCAGCAGCAGCTCTGCAGGAGAAACACTGGGTTTTCTATGCCCATAAACAAGTTACAGGCTGGGAAACCCAGGGGGGGTCACTGTGAGTCAGCATTGACCCAATGGGTTTGGAGGGATTTTGTTTTTGAAAGCTATTTTTAAATAAATTAAAAAGGAATGTTATTATTTTTAAAAGTCATCATCATCATACATTTAAAAATAACTCACCCTGAGCCTGCATGCGAGTCCTCACCAAAGCCAAGGGGTAGCTGGCTAGCTGGCCACAGGTGCTGGATAACGCGCCGCATCCCAGCAGCACCACGACCCCAGGGTTGACAGTGTCCTCTGCAAAATGTTCTAGCCAGTAGGACTTCAAGAGCTGCCGGAGGAAAGAATAACTTAGAAATCTAACTTTACAGTGCAATGCCTTGACTCCATGTGGAAAATGTCATTCTGTCATTTCTGCAAGACAAAGTGGCACATTCCCAGGGACAGTAGGGCCTAAGGAACGTGTGTGTGCGCGCAGTGAATAGTAATACACTCATATACTCCTTCTATAACTAATTTTCATTATTTTTGGTCACTAAATTCTATAAAGTTAACACTAACACTCTGAAGTTATCAAATGAATCATGCCTTTATTGGAGCTCAATGGGATCTCACTACTTGAGTTTCATCTTTAGTACACGAGCACATTGGGAGTATTAATTGTGAAGTACAAATGCATCTTAGCATGTAGGTAAATTTGCAGAAAGGAGAGCTGTGAATTGACTGTAACTGTATCTCATTTTATACTTTGCACTTACACTAGTTCATTTGGCCTTTATAAAAACACACAGATCTTACTATGCTGACATTCTGCTTTAATAAGTGAGGAACATCTATCTCAGGTGGGCTTTTAATAAGCGCTCAGACTCAGATCCCCAACCATGCTTTTCCCTCTCCCCACACCCCACTGCCTTCAATGCCCTATATTCCCATTGCAAGTCAATCAATAGGAGAAATGATGGAAAATGTGTATGCTGATCTATTTTTTGAATATAAAATTTCTTTATATAAAAGTATATGCTACACACAAAAAATTCTATAATGAGTTTAATGAAAGTTAAAATATTTAAACTGGTTTTATAATTGGATACTGGGATCCAAGTTGCAGACTTGGAGCTTATAATTAGACCACAAGAAGAGCCCTATAAATGTAATGTTAAAAATTAAACTTCAATGTCTTATTTAATGTCCATGTTGTACTATAACATGACAATTTAAAAAAGCCATGGAGGCTGAGGGGAACCATTTCTGAGCTACAAAAATGAGGGAAAAGAAGTAATTCACTAGAAACTGATAGGCTACATATTTGCACTGGAAAGATGAGGTTAGGAATGGGCAGGGGAGGTAGAGAAGGCACTCTTTAAAACACTCAACAATCAATTTAAAATTCTCTAAACTAGGAGTGATCTCCTAAGACTGGCCTCGACAGCTCTTCGTCTGTTTTATTCTACCTCTCCGCAGGACCCATTCGTGATCATGCTTTGTCTCTCAGTGCTCAGTGAGCTCACATTTACTTTCCTTCGTTTGTGTTTGTTTGTGCATTCATTGTGTCCCTCTTTGTTGATTCTGCAACATCAAAATTGCTACATAGCCTCCCAGTCCTCTCATCCCGGAAAGTGGTCGTCTAACAGGAGGGTCGCCAGACCTTCCCGTCTGCCTTCTTCCTTCTCTGCACCAAGGTTCATAAGTATCACCTGGCACAAGCAACCAGCCTCTTGGCTTTAACACAGTTTTATGATGGGCCTTTTTGGCTTATTTCTCTCCCACACAGCAATTTCCCTAGGATCACCTTCTGAGCTGGGCCATTATATATGCATTTGAGTCGATACGCTACAAACTCTTCAACAACAAACATAAATCTCAAAGAAACCTAATAGAAAACTGACCCCATCCACACAGGGTCTCGTATTCCAAATACACATAATAAGAGAGTTCAAGTAACACATCCCTGAATCCACTTTTGGTTACCAACTGTTCTCTAGTGTGTGTGCGTGTGTGTACTTTATATGATGTCTAATTTTAAAAAGAACCATTATGGGAGCATATTTTTGGATTCAAAAGATTGTTATAAACTCACCTCATACACAGCGAGGTCTATGCCTGCGTAGGGTATGATGCCTAATAAGTTGGGGATGTAGCCTTTGTAAAGAGCCCCCATGCCTTCATGCTTCAAAATCTTCTTGGCACAGTCGAATATCCCAGAGTATTGTCCAGTTTTGGCTACAGCCAGTCTGGTTTTGAAAACCTGGATATGGAAGAATATAGCGAAATACTACTGTTTGCATGAACTCAACCATTACAGAATTCAACAAAAGTGGTTTTTCAAAGGACAAAGCCTAGCACTTACTGTTGACATGCTCTCTGTGCTGAAGAGCTGAGGCCAGGGCCATGGAGACCCCGTGGCTGCACAGGGAAGGACCCGAATGAGGGCAGCAGCAGGGGAGAGGAGGGGAGATCTTCTATGGAAGTCTTCACAGAAGGGAAGTGTGGGGACAATTAGACATGGTGGGTGAGCACACAGGTAGCCTGAAGGAGGCCTCCAGTGTTTCCACATTGGGACACAAGTAGGGGTGTGTGTGCTATTGATGCAGATGGACGATATCAGGAAGAGCAGGGGCTGGCACAGGCTATTATTTGAGGGGTGAGTGGAGTAATGCAAAATTAATATAACCATGCTATGTTTAAGGTGGTTACACAGAAAGCTATGTTAATTTGCATACCACAAAACAAGTACAATTTGAGGCTGTATCTTTCTTCAGGCTTATCAGTTATTTAAAAAACAACCTTCCTTAAGAAAGATATCCACATCAACAGTATTATTTTTGCTCTCCAGGTGTCAGAAAATGTTCTGTAGAAAAATCCAGAAGGTAAATATTTGAGGCTTTGCAGACTTAAGATATTGGGTTGCTGTGGTGTGTTAACAACAAAACCTCTTAAGTTAAAAAAAAAAAAAAAAGGTTTTAAAAGAAAACCTTCCATCCAGGGCTGTCCAGTAACAAACAGGTCAGGGGTCTGTAGTGTGCTAGTCCACGTTCCATTGGAAGCATATGTCTAATTAGGATTACTATCGCTTACTCAAGTCCTGAGGTGCCCTTGGTAAATGCATAGTGCAGAAATTTTTGGAGCGAAATGAGGGTCATGATTCCCCCCAACATGGAGGCAGCCAAGATGACCTCCGTGGTCCATGCCTTGAGGAGCTCACAGCCTGTGCAGTAGCCACCACCCCCCCACCCCACCCCCACACACACACTTTATCAGGGTTGGTCTGGGTAATCCATAAAACATGGCAGAAGTGACCAAAGACGGGGGCTCACTTGGGCACTTGCTCTCGCTCACTTCAGCGGGGAAGCACCCGCTATTTTCTGAGGAGCCCCAGGCAGCTTGTGGAGCCACTCATGTCCCTGACTGCAGGCTGGGGGACCCTGAGCCAGGCGCCCCGCTCAACTCCTCCAAGATGCCTAACCCACAGGTACTGTGAGATACCAAATGCTGGGGGGTCACACTGTTCCTGCGGGCGCGTTCTGCTTCAGAGCGGCAGGTAACTCCGGCGACCCCGAGCAGACTCCGTCCTCACTGACAAGGGTTCTTACCTCCATGGGGTAAATAAAGGTCTGTGCTGTCGCCCCGGCCAGGGAGCCCGACAGAAATCTCTCCAGGGTTCCTACTTTGTGTCCCTCCTCCGTCAGCAGCTTTTTGTACTGTGTTAAGGAGTTTTTAAAAAGCGCATTAGTGCCGAAATAGAAATCACTCAACTGACAGCCACTGCGTTAACAGTACCAAGCAGAAAAAGCAATCCTGAATGCGAGACCATGCGGTTTACTGGACAGTGGTTTTCAGACGAGGCTCCCACAAAACCCAGATCTTGCATAGACACGGTCTGGGTGCCCCTTTACTAAGACCAAGTGAACGCATCCTTTCCCAGAGGCAAAGAAAATAAGAGATTATTTTAGGGTATTTTTCCCATAGATTTTTTAAATGGGTTACTTTTATCAGCATAAGTAAAACTCGTGGATAAGTACCACAGAAATCTTACCAAAACAACTTAGAAATACAATAGGTAATAAATATCATGACCCAAACATTAACGCACATATTTTGTAGGTAATAAATATAATTACATGAACAGCGTTTGCAGGTAATAACTATAATTATAACTACCCAAGGGCCTATGTCGCCCACCCATACTAAAGCAACCTGACACAGCTCACTGGACCCGTGTGGCAGCATCTGCGAGCCGGGATGTTAGCAGCAGACCCGGACCCCCGTGGCCCTGTGCACACACAGAAAGCTCTCCAAGTGGCAGTTTCCTCCCCTGTGACCACACTACCCATCGCAGGAGGGTGCTGAAAGGAGTAAGCAAGCCAAGGTGTGTGGCATTGCACAGCTCTGGGGCACACGGGGAAGGGTCAGTAAATGGGGTGGTTATTATGATTAATATTTCATCTTTAAACCGTTTGGACAGGAAAAGAACAAATTCACTGCCATTGAATTGATTCTGACTCGAGCCCTGTGGGCTTCTGAGACTGCAACTCTTTGCAGGAGTAGAAGCGTCTTCTCTCTCCCTTTGCCCCAAGCAGAGGAGGTCTAAGTAGCCAGGCAAGCATGACTCCTTCTCTCCGGAGGATCCTGACTCGGGAGGGGGACACATGGATAAGGCAGAGGGGCAGGGGCAGTGGAGTTCCACTTGCTGGACTTCTCTGAGGAGTCATTGGTTAGGGCTGTACTTGTGCTTCCAGTGACCCCATTGTCTGAACTGGCCAGAGATTTGGTTTCTTGGATCTGCAAGGGTCCCTGGGTAGTGCCTTCAAAAGCTCAATGCAATTCATTACAGATGTGTACTTTCTCATAGCAACATGATGTTTCTAGCTTGTGATAAACACTGAATCTGCTATTATTCCATGGAATTCTCCATAGAGCAGATAATCCAACCAAAGAGATCAGAGCTTCCAGGTCCTCCGTGTTCTGATTGTGCGAGAATGCTGACTAAAGCTCCTTTTTAACATTAATCTTACTAATTTTCCTGCCCACTGCCATTGAGTTAATTCTGACTCAGAGAGAGGCAATAGGACAGAGCTGAACTGCCCTGTTTGGGTTCCTGAGGCTGTGATTATGAATTTTATATCATTTATAACGAAAGACTTCTCCAAGAAGAAGAAGAGTTAGCATGCATAAATTAGAATATGTCAAGCAGGCTCAGAAAGGAGTCACTTTGAATGAAAGCAAAGGGTGCTTCCTGGTTATGTCCACAGTGAAAATTTAACATGTGGCTTACCATGAAAATGCACACATTTACTTGCAATAACAAAGGACTTACAAAAATATGAAGCTTCAAATATCAAAAATATTGAGATAATAATTTTTAATATTGAATATTGACTTTAGGTGCTGGCATTTCTGACAAAAATCCATGTCTGTGGTCAGAATAAAATCAGGGCTTCTAAAATATTAGCACTTAAGTGTTGTGATTTGAATCCTCAAACACTTACAGGAAAACAAAAAAAAAATCCTTCCCAAAGATAAATTCTGATCAAAATCCTAGAGTCTATTTTAGTCAACTTTTCTATTTCCTAAATCAAGAAGAAGAAACCACTAGACCCCTTGCCTTCGTGGAGTTTCCACTATAAATTATGTTCAACTCAATTTTCTGAGAAATGTCAAATCATGTATAGAATTTCAATTTAAAGCTTTCATTCCAGATGTTAAATTGGGATACTTTTCTAGAACTTATGTTAATGTGCAATTTCGACTCTGAATTCATAATGAAAAGGCTAAAATTCTACCTTTCTTCTAAAATCTACTCAGACAAGGACATGGAAATCTTTCTTTATAAATGATATGAAATTCAGAACCACAGAATTTAATCTTGAAAACTCTCTGAGTTCAACTAGTCCAATTTCCCATAAAGGAGGCCTGGTGGTTAAGCTATGGGCTGCTAACCACAAGGTCAGCAGTTCAAATCCATCAGTGCTCTGAGGGTGAGGAAGTTAGGCTTTCTGCTCACATAAAGACCTACAGCCGCAGAAACCCAAATGAGGCAGTTCTACTCAGTCCCATTGGCCCTCTGTGACTCAGAATGAACCCAATGGCAGTGGGTCAACGGGAATCTCCCATAAGAGAAGGTCCTCATGAAGTTCAAGTGGAAAATGATGATGCAGTGCAACAATAGCCTTAGGAGGGCTGTATGCGAACCTTTATTGAATCCCTTTACTAAGGCTTCTTTGCCAATGAATTCAATAGGTGATAGTAATTACCTGTTCATACGCCCAGAACTTCACAGCTGTCTCAGGGGCGATTTTAATGACATTTGTCCCATTTCCTCTCCAAAGGGAGCGGATGCCTCCTTCTTTCACCATCTGTCGAAAGCCACCAACTAAGTTCATCTTGTCTGACTTTGAGCCATGAACCTAAAGATAAAAGTAAAATGATGTCAAATGTGGGCTGCATGTATTGCAAGTATTTCCAAAGCAACTGCAAATTAGTCTCTCTTTTCTGATAGTATTTATAAATATAAATACAGTATTTATTCGAAAACCCAGAAAACTGAGAACATCGCAGGCCTTTGAACCAGCTCTTCTGGTTCGAACCCCTGCTGAGAATTGAAATTGCATCCTGGATGTACAGAATAAGAATCTACAGTTTAATAAGCTCCCCAGGTGATACTTACAGATGCTGTTAAAATCTTAACTATGGTTTACTATATCTTGAGGGGAAATGCAAATTCTCCAGCAAGGAGACCAGCCAGAATGGACTGGTTCAAAGCTCTAGTAATTACACCATGGTGGGAGGGATGATTATCATCATTTTAGACTTCTATATCTGAACCTCAATCTGAAAATAATCTGTATCCTTCGGCCTGGAAAAGTAGACACAGAAGTCATGACCAAAGTGTAAATGATCATGAGGAAGAGTTGTAAGATACGGTGAACCAGGTTAGACAAATATGAGACTATGAAACACGCTTTGGAACTCAAATAATTTTAAGAAAAGTGAAGAAGAAGACCACTGTCAGTAAAACACTAACCCCTTCACACAACAATTAATATAGTCATGAAATTATAAATGGATATGAAAATGATTTATGCACATTTGTACATATCAGAGCCACAGATGCTGGGAGGAACACAGCTTGATGCCCAAAATAGCAATGTGTGCTTCCATAGCGTGTCCCAGGGCTCTCTAGCCAACAAACTCAAGAGCAGATGGGCCAACTGCCTAGCCGAGTGCGACTGATGAATTATTTGCCCTAACTGCACAAGTAGGAACTGCCACATGCTAAAAAAATACTAGATGTTCTTTTTGCCTACATATACACACTTATTGAAAATAAATGAACTTCATTAAATAAATCACAATAATCAAAGAAAGCTACTTTTGAGAGTGTCAGCTTCCACAAAATGAGTGACTACCCCACACATACACAAAAGCTAAATCTATTACTACATACTTAAAACATACTGTTGTAGCTATGTCTATCACTAGATGAATATTTTGCCTATAAATGAGTAACATACCATAGATGTCACAGAGTCAAAATACATATTTCTGAAACACTTATCCTTGTCTTCGTGCATGAGGAGGCCCCTCGCACAGTACTGGAGGGGCCTCAGCAGTCTCAGTCAATGAATTTTATTCTCTTTCACTTCAGAGGAGAGAGATCGTTTCCTATCACAGTGTATTTCGTACTCATGATACCAGTTACAGTTGCATTTCTAAATCCCAACTAAGCCTACATTGTTGCTAGAATATAAGATTGTTGACTGAAAAATAGCAAATCGCTGTTTGCTACAGTTTTCCTTCATAGCACTTAGGAGGATTAACACGTAGTAGGTGCTCAGTAGTTACTTATGAAATCAGTAAATTGTAAGTACTAGAAAAACCAATCCAGGAATCAGATCTTTCGCTCTGTCTGCCGTGATGCAGCTGACTGAGCGGGCACGTTCCAGAATCCCACTTCTCAAGTCAGGAAGCTGCAGTCCAGAAGAGTCCATTTGATTTGCAATGAGCAAGGCTCACAATAAATATTGTGAGAAAAGAAAATATGAATGTTACACACAAATGCAAAAACTCTCTCCCTTTTTAATTTAAAGCATTATCTCTGTGCCTAAATACACTTTGGTACTTTGGCACATACATTCTAAAATTTCACCCTGTTTTTTTCCATACAGAAATATAAGGACAAACATTAAAAGTAGTTGCATAACACACACAACTTTGAAAGATTTTTTAAGCTACGACTAGGTTCCAATCG